TACAAAAGTCATTTTACAAAGGCCAAAAACCAAAACAAGCAGGTCTTGACAATGACTGAACACTGTGTCAGCAAAATGGAATGAAAGCTCTGCTGGAAACACACAAACAGGAGGACCTGTTCATGAGCCCTGGCAGGTTTATGCGCCCTGTCCAAGCGGAAGGAACCGATGTCAGGGACTGCTCTGTGGTGTCCTACCAGCTGAGCTTCCTTTTTCTGCCCTTATCACAATGCACAGTAATAGGCAGTCAACCTGTCACCCCCACTAGATGGTGAGCGACTTGAGGGGCTGTGGCTTTTTCACCTCTGTACTTCCAGTGCTGGGTTCCTAGTTGACCTCCAACAAGTGTGCCTTGAATCTGTTGGAGTGAGGAAGCGCTCTGCTCTGAATGGGGACGCTGCAGCAGCCTCACTGCGGCCTGGAGGAAACAGTCTTCCAGCTCTACCTGATTCTGTGAGGGGCCTTCTGATTGCTAATTTCACCTTCAAAGTTGTCTCTTACTAGGGAGGGAACACACTGGCTAAACGATGTGAGTGCTCTGGTCCTGATGTGCTGGCTTATTCACTGGCCTCTTGTGAGAATAACTGAGCCTATGTCTGAGACACTGATTAGCCAGCATCTCTGAACATAAACAGAACTGAATTCCTGAAAACTTGAAAAACTGGATTCTAGATGCTAGACTGTGTTGACTGCACAAGATAAAAGTCCTTGGGACCCACTGCCTAAGCAGAGACCAGCTTTCTAACAGGTGGTCTTTATTTTGCCTTCAAACCACAATAGAAAATTCTGTTCCCTATATAATTGCAATTTCGTTGAAACGTTTTTAAAGATCTACCACTTCCCATTACATCCCTGAAATCTTCCCATTGCCTAGCAATGCTGCTGGAAAGACGCCAGAACCAGAAAGCGAGAGCGAGTTTGATCGTTTCACCTCTGCGTCCAACGTGTGACCAGAACACAGTTCTAGGCCAGAGTAAGAGACTAAATTTAAAAATGCATGTTAAGAAATTAGCACTGCTCCTAGTAGATAGAAAGCATTCGATAAAAGACAGCATATATATATATATATATATATATATATATATATTTATAATTTGCATGATACTTGTTATACTGGGAGGTACCTGGTAGACAGTGTTGTTCTGAGAGTCAGTTCTAATCATGGCCATTACTTTCTGTTTTTCCCACAGCCAATAGACAAGGTTGGACTCCGGAGGTGATGTTTGAGTCAACAGGTATTTGGAGTCTGGAGAAAAAGCCATGCTAGTAAATTTTTGAACTGGGAAGTCGAAATTATTAAGGATTTTGCGCTTCCGGCAAGGGACGGATGACAGTTCATAAATGGTGATGACAGGTTTTTCTTGCACTATCTCGGACATTGCAAGGTATCGCCGATTAGGACTGATGGACAATGCCAACATGGCTTGACTCTTGTCTGAGCCTGCAAACAGGTAAAAGGAAACAATGAGGGTAGATTACCAAGATTCAACCTGGACCAGGCACAGTGGTAGGCTCTGCTGATGTAATTGGAGCAAAGTGCAGATACAGGTTATTGTCAACCCATGAAGTTCCTTTGTACAACTATATCTGAGGTATTATGAAAATGATTGGGACGGGCACCTCCCCAAGGCTGAGGTGGGAGGGGGACCGATTCCTGATGGCAGACAAAGTGAGACAGGGAGGGGAATGCGGCAGGTGGCAGAATGAGCAAAGGTAAGGATGTGAGAAAGCAGGATCTTCCTGGAGCATTGCATGCAAGCCAGGGGTGGCCACAGATAGGCCTAGAGGAGTGGAGGAGGATCGGATCATGCAGGCCCTTATGCCCTGAGTGGGCAGCACTCAGTACTCTCCCTCTGCTTTCAAAGCTGGGATGTTAACTACTGGATTCCTCAGCCTCCCTTGCAGTTAGGTGATCTATGTGACACTCTGGCCATGAGACAGATGCAGAAGTTTGCTGAACTGGCTTTATGGTAAAGCCTTTGCTTTCTTGAAAACGAGGAACAGATGCATTCTATTCCCCTTTCCCTGGAATATAGAGGTGATACCTGGAGATACAGCAGTCATCTTACAAGCATGAGGTAACAAGCATAATGAGAGCTATGGTCCTCTACATAGCAGTGCCTGAGGCAAAGATTCAAGTGCAAATACTCTGTTTGGGAAAGGCAGTCAAGGCCACAGTATGATTTTCCAGGGCCCTAGGTACTATTGCTTTCAGGAGCCCTTTCCTCCATTAAAGAATGTTAAAAAGTATATTTTGTGATTGCATTGGTATAAAGAGAAATATATCCAGGCTGGATTCATTATGATACATTCATTATTATTATATTATTTTTTTCCTGATTTTAAAATAAGTTAAAATTAAAACATTTTCTTGGGTCCCTAAATATATCATCATGGGCCCTCGGCTCTGTGTCTACTGTGCTTTGTGGGTAAGTCCTCTGTCTCAGTTAACAGCAACTCCATCATTCTCGTTAATCAGGCCCAAAACCTTGCTGCTTCTTTTTCTCTTCCACCCTACACCAGGCCTCTGAGAAAATCTATCCCCTCCACTTTCAAAATGTATCCAGGATTTGATCTCTTTTCACCCTCTCTGTTACCTACATCCTGCTCCTTTACACCATTGTCTCCCATCTGGATTATAGCAATAGTTTGTCAGTTAGTCTCCTGCTTCCTCCCATGCCCTTCCTTAAATCTATTATCTATAGAGTTACCAAAATGAAGCTGTTGAAACAGAAGTCAGATCATGTTGCTCCCTGTGCTTAGAGTCCCTCCATGACTTCTCATTTCATTCAAGGTGAGAGCCTGTGACCTGCAAAGCTCCATGTGACGTTGCTCCCCCATTATTTCTCTGCCTCACCTCTCACTCCCTGCTCCTCCATTTTCTCCACTCCAGCCACATTGGCTTCCTTGCTATTCCCTTAACACACTGAGGACCCTCAACTCGGAGCCTCAAAGGTGAAAGGCAAAAGTATAAAGCATAATAGAGGTAATAAAGGAGACTACATTAATAATCTTAGGTTAGGGAACAAAAAGAAAAACAACATTCCTGAAAAAGACACAAAAAGGAAAAGTTTCATGAACTTCATTAAAAGTAAGAATTTCTGTCCATCAAAATACCATGAGGAGGGAGAAAACACAAGCTCCAAACTGGAAGAAATTATTTGCATTACATATATTTTACAAAGTGTTGGTATACAGAATACAGAAAGAGTGCTCATAAATCAGTAAGAAAATTACCCCCAAAATCCCATAGAAAAATGGGTAAAAGACATGAATAAGGCATTTCAATGAAGACTAAATAGGAATAGCCCATAAACATGTGAAAAAAAATATTCATCCTCATTAGTAATAAAGAAATGCACACTAAACCCAGTAAGATACACTTTCTCAATCACTAGGTTAGTAAAAAATTGGGAAGTTGGACAAGCGTTGGTGAGATTTTGGGGGAATGGCAAGTCTCAAGCACTCCTGGTGGGAGTATAGATTGGTACTATTGTATCACCCAGTAATTTTAGTCTTGGCTGTGTATATCTTGGAGAATCTCTCCACCAGCGGACAAGCATACATGAATGCAAAAATTTTATACTGGCATGGTTTGTAGTAGCCAAAAAAAATGTTGTTTCCCAAACTTCCATTAACACCAGAATGGACAGACATATTTGAGACATTAGATTCATAGCATGGAACACTATGTAGCAATAAAATGAACTCAGGATGCAGGCAATATGTATGAAGATACGTGATTTCAAAAGCATGATGTTGAACAAAAGAAACAAATCATAGACTCCATATACTATGATTCCATTTATATAAAGTTAATAAATAGCAAAAACAAGATGTAATGGGGTTACACACACGAGGTCTGTCCAGAAAAAGTCCAGCCTTTGTTAAGGTCCCAAGGTGTCTACTTTGAAGGGGACTGAGGTGTCATTGTGCTATGTGCAATGTTTCTTGTATCTTCTTCAATAAATATCTCTATTTTTCATAGTAAATGGCTGGATACCTTCTGGACAGGCTTCATATATGGTAAAATTATATGCAACAAAGAGTGGAAAGTGGTAATGTGATTAAGTTGTGGAAATCATGTACATCATCAACAGGACCAACATGAACAAAGACAAATGTAACATTATACCTATGATTATTTGTAACGGGATAAAATCTCCATTTTCTTCATCATACATGAATTCAAAAGGTGCTGGAATGAGGGTAGTGTACTGTGGAAAACTGTGTCACATAACTCAAAAGGTGGCCTTGGTGATGACAAAGACAATGATACTGAAGAAACATGAAAAGAGACTCTAAAATATTTTTTTCCATTAAATCACAATGAAAAAATTACTTTTAAAAACATTTATTTATGTTTAATCGAATTTATTGAGGTCATGTTGGTTCACAAAACCATGCAGGTATTAAGTGTACAACTCAATAAAACATTATCTGCACATTTTTACATGAAATGCAAAGTAGCCACGTATTTCTTCTACATTTAGAGAACTATATACGTTTATTCAAGTTGGCCAAAAAACTTTTCATTCAATCACCGTGTTGGAATTATGAGGTTATATTTGTCACATAAGGTTAATGTGTCAGGATGGAAAGGGTTTTACCTGGAATGAATTTTTGCCACTTCTGATCTATATTGTACTTCACACAGTAATTTCCTGAAGGAAATATAATGATCTGTTCATCGAAGAAGAAGATATTGTTGCTCACGTGGGATCGAAAACCAAAAGAATGCAGCGAGAGTGCAACCACGGTCGACATGGTCCCTGGAAGAAGAGTTAATTCAGTGTAGCCCAAGAGCTGCAGGTGAGCTTGAAGCGCAACGCCGCGCCCCGCCCCGCTCCACCCGGAACACGCCCCTGACCCCGCCCCCAGGGTTCCTCTCGCGTCGCAACCCCCTCTTCCCCCAGTGCCTCTCACTCTCACCCCGGGCTCGGCTCCTGCTTCTCCTCTTTCCTTTGTACCCTTGAGGCTTCCTGCTCCTCTGGATGACTATGGGGTACCCCTCTCTCACCTTTCGCTTCTCCTCTCGGAATCACCAGACCACACGTGTACCCAGGGGGAGTGTTCGTACGGATCCCAAGCAACTTGGGCACTTTCAGACGCCCTAGCGGTTCCTATAGCAACGGAAAACCGGAAGTGTGGATCTGCTTCCGGAAGCGGAAGTCCGAGCAAAAAGTTCAGCTGCAGCAGTGGGTTAGTGGCGCTTTGCGTCCACGTGGAGCAGCGTGGTGAGAGTAGGGGGCTGAAAGCAGGTGGCAGCGGCGATAGGCGCCCTTTTCCAGGCGTGCGGGCCCCGGGCTACTCCGCTTCTTCGGTTAGTGTTGGATGTGCGCGCTGCGAGATGGACAGTCCCCCACTCTCAGGCTCGGACTCGGATTCTGAGGATTCTTTCGTCACTGACAGGGAGGTAAGTGTCAGCTGAACTTGGGCGGCTGGGCGCGGGAGACGGCTTTACTGCCCAGGTACTGACCGCCGATTGTGCCCTGTAGTTGCAGGACGCGTTTTCCCGAGGGCTCCTGAAGCCAGGCCTCAATGCCGTGTTAGAGGCTCCGAAAAGAGCGGTGAACGACGTGGTGAGCTGGGGCGCCGGGTCGGGGGTACTCGGAAAGCGAGAGGAGCACAGGGTGTGCCTGGGTGGCTGAGTTCTTGTCCGAGGAAGGACGCAACATGGGCGTTGTCAAGAGGGTCAGTTAACTGTTGCGGTGTTGGGGGGTGACACTTTGTCGATTGGCTGGGCTTGGGAGACATATTGAGGGTTCCCTTCTTAGGAGCTCAGTGTCTGAATTTCTTAGAATGGCCTGAAGCAGTGTTTGACAGAATTCAAGCGGGATCTGGAATGGGTTGAAAGGCTTGATGTCACCCTCGGTCCGGTGCCAGAAACCAGTGGACCTCAGTCAACACCTCAGAGCAAGGATCAGAAAGCTGTTGATCCAGAAGATGACTTCCAGCGGGAAATGAGCTTGTACGTTTTCAAATGTGGGAGAAGCTGTGGGTCCCTGTGCTACCGGGCGGGGGTTGGGGGGCGGGCGGGGAGGCGGATGGAATGATGAGCCTGTACTCCTCAGAAGATAGAAGAAACTCGGGAACAAGGAGGAAGCCTTCTTTTGACCAAAAAGAGCTAAAGAGTGTGTACGTGCGTGTGCATTCAATTATTAGAACAAAAATTTTCTTATGGAAGGTTCTTATGTGAACTTTTTCAGTAACTACATAAGAATTCATAATTGACATTAGTTTGTAAGTTGATAGGTACTTTTAGAATTGTCGTTCTCTTAAACTATTAATTTATTTTCAGCAATAATCCTTGCCCCCCCCTTTTTAAAAGTGTACAGTTACATTTCTTCCAGATATCAAATTAATGAGGTTTTCTTTATTACAGTTTTTGTTTGTGTGTTCTTGCTGGTGAAGGTCAGATGTTGAGAGTCCTTCTGACCTGGGGTAACTCGTGAGAGGCAGTGAGAAGGAATGTAAAGCCTCCCTCACTTAGTTTATTTCACACTGTCCTACATCCACAGCTACCGGCAGGCCCAGGCTGCAGTGCTTGCGGTATTACCCCGCCTCCATCAGCACAAAGTCCCTACTAAGCGACCCACTGATTATTTCGCAGAGATGGCCAAGTCTGATCAGCAGATGCAGAAGGTAAGACACAGAGAAGGTTTTGTTTTGTGTTCCTTTTTATTTTTTCTGGAAAGCTGAGGCTTTGTACTTTTAAGTATATTTAGCTAGCTAATCTCCTATTTGTTTAAAAAATACTAAGCCTAATAATAGGGGACCAGTTCTCAGAGGACAATTATTACTTCTATTGTCCACTTCAGACTTATGCCAGTCACCAGCAATTAGGTAAATATAAGGATGACTTTTTCCTAATTTAAACAACTAAAGGAAGGAAAAGTAGTGGAAGAAGTGTGGTCCCCAAGGTAAAGATGGCCTTTTCGCATTTCCTAGCTGGCATGATCATGGCATAATGTGTAGAAAAAGTACATATCTTGTTCTGCATTGGCAGGGGGCAAAGCTACAACTTGTAGATAATTCATTTTCTCTGAGCTTCAGTTTTCTGTAAAATGAGGGATTCAGTTAGGGCTCAGAGGCAGTATAATTTAGAATTAGGTAGAACTTGGTCCTTACTTAACTTTGGGAGGGAGAGAATTGCCAAAATCTAATCCAAGATGTGTTGAAATAGTTCCCTTGGGTCTCAAGCTGGATGGTGGAGAGCCTTATCTTGGTGGTACTTAGGGAAGCTAATCTAGAGATGAGCTCAGGCACATCTCTGTGCATTCACACTGACAACTGCTCACCCTTTAACTGAAATGTGTATGTCTGATGGAAAAGGCTAGGTGCGTGGTATCTGTTGGAGTTTTTAGTGTGTATCTGTGTATATTGGAGAAGGGAACTGAGGCTGCATGCAGGTTTAATCTCAGCCTGCAGACAGTATGGATGGGCAGAAGTTAGTTTCTCTTTGCAAAAATGCAAGCAGGCAGTTTTGTATAATGGAACAAATGGCACACTAGGATTGGGAAGGCTGTATTCAATTTCCAGCTTCACTGCTGATACGTTTGGTATCTTATCTTGGACAAAGTGTTCAGTCTTTGGGTTGCATTGCCCTCATGCATAAAACCAGGGTCTTGGAAGGGACGATTTACAAGGTTCATTTGAGCTCCATAGTTTGCAGAACAGGAATATCTGTTTCCTGCTCTGGTGCACCCAAAGGAGCAGTCATTCCAGATTTAAATAACGTAAGCTGACAACATTTTGTGTTTTAGATTCGACAGAAGCTGCAGGCTAAACAGGCCGCCATGGAGAAATCGGAAAAGGCTAAGCAACTTCGAGCACTTAGGAAATACGGAAAGAAGGTGAGAAGGAAAGTGGTGGGGGATCGAATGAGGCTAAGTGTGTTTGTCAGGCCAGATTTCTGTGGTCTGAGTTGGTTCCATGACCTCTATGTGTTCGATCTTGTGTTTGTTATCTCATAGTGGAGCATAGTATTCATTATCACAATCTTTCCTTGACACTAGTATGTTACCAGGAGTAGTGTGGTAACTGTAGGCAGGTCATTTACTTCTCCAATTTGCACTTCTTTTTTTTCAACCTTTTAAAATATTTTTTAATTTTTTAAAGATTTTATTTATTTGTTAGAGACAGGGAAGGGAGGAAGAAAGAAAGGGAGAGAAAAATTGATGTGCAAATGATTGGTTGCTTCTTGCATGTCCCCATCTGGCCTGCAACCCCAGCATGCGCCCTGACTGGTAATTGAACCAGCAATCTTTTGGTTTGCAGGCTGGCGCTCAGCCCAGTGAGCCACAACCGGGGCTCCAGTGTGGACTTCTATACAGGGAACAGTTGCGGGAGTCCAGATCAGGGGTCTCCAAACCTGATCTCACAGCAGAATCACCTCTGGGGAAATTTTTCAACAGATTTCTAGGCTTAAGTGTCTCTGGGAATCTGTGTATGTTTTCTTCCTTCCCCCCAAAGCTTCTCAGATGACTTCAATATGTACCTTGGTTTGAGCATCACTGGCCTAGATAATTTAAAGTCCTTGAAGGAATAATATCGATTGGTCATTCAGTCAGAGAGAAAAAAATGGCACCTGTGCGTTTGAACCATGACTGTCTTGAGTTCTAAGGTAAAACTAAAGCAGGCATACCATGGAACGTTTTTTGGTTTTTCTTCTTTATTTCACAGTCACTTAAGACAGAAGATGACAGGAATTGAAGTTAGGGTTGTGGGAAGAAATGTGTGTGAGGAGGGTTATCGTGGCTGTTAAAATGTTGTCCATATTTTGGACATAAACATTGTGACCTGGGCTGTGAGCTGCTGTCCGCACTTGGAATCATTTCATGATAGATCCTCAGTGGCGTGAGATTAGACTAGCATCCTATCCTCTGCAGATGGGCAGCTGTGGGTTTACTGGATTGAGCGGGGGGGTCAATGGCTGAGATCAGCTCAAAAACATGGGCAGTTGGTTTAACACAAATTATCAAAAGCAAAGAAAAATTCAATCAGGCCAGTTAGCTCACTCTTACTGATTTGAGGAAATCTTAGAGCACTACTTCTGGGCTGGGGATGATTTTGCTTCCTGGGGATCATTGGCAATGTTGGAGACATTTTTTTGTTGCCACATCTTGGTGGGGAGTGTGCAGCTGAATCTAATGGATAGAGGACAGGGAGGCTGCTAAACATCCTACAGCGCCCAGGACAGGCCGCTAACCCCTGACAACATTCTCCTGTCCGAACTGTAGGTAGTGTTGGGGTTGAGAAATATCCCATAGAGTAAAAGCATCTCCTTTTATCCTTAAATCTAATTTTCTTTTTCACTTTTTGGGGAGATTGTTTTTTTCTGTTGGTACTTTCATGACTAGTAACAGTAGGTTAGGTATTTAATTGGCCCAGATACAGTTAATGGGGAGAATTGGATGTGGACTGATACATGATTTGCTACAGTTTTGTAGGCAGGATTGTGTAATGGCAGAAGGGTGCAGACTGCCTGCCTGTGAATCTCAGCTCTGTGTGACTGGGGCAGGTTACCACCTTTCTGTGTTTCATTTTCAGGGATGTTAAGAATTTCTCAGAAGCTGAGCTGAGAATGCACTTAGAACCTTAGCACAGTCTAGGCACACAGTAAATGTTCAGAGGCGGTGGTGGTATTATCACAGCGTTGATACTGGGAGAATACAGACAGTTGCAGTGATGGCTTGGAATGGGTGTAACAATACTATGTCCGTGTCCCAGGTACAAACAGAGATTCTTCAGAAGAGGCAGCGGGAGAAGGCACACATGATGAATGCCGTTAAGAAATATCAGAAAGGTTGGTATTTCTCTCTTCTAAAGATACAGGGGGCAGGGTCCCTGCTAATTCTATCACCTGGTGCTCTGGAGCCTTGATTGATTTGTTTGATTGGACCTAAGGTTTGGGAAGGGTGCAGGGAGCAAGATGTACCTCTTAAAATCAATTCAGTAAGCAGTAATCTTCTTTGGATATTTAAGGTTTTCTTAAAATGCAGTGGCACTAATCAAAGTACTGCTTCACTCCTAGGCTTCTCTGATAAACTGGACTTCCTTGATGGAGATCAGAAACATCAGAAACCTGTCGCACGGGGCTCGAAGGAAGGCGCTAAAGGCCAGCAGATGAGGAGAGGGTATGAAGTGTCTGGTTTGCTTTGCGGCGGGCACTGGGCAGCAGGTCATGGGTATGGCAGGGGCTGCCGGAAGGAGCAGCCTCAGGAGAGTGTTGCTGCGGCCTGCGGCCAGGGCCTACCAGGCTATGTGATGGTCCTTTCGCCATGTCAGACTGAAGATGGAAGTAAGGTGATCTCAGGATTTGGCCCATTTGAGTGAATGTTTAGTAAAACTTGATTTTGCATCTTATAGGGTGATGGGTAAGAGTACAGCCCAGGGTTCAGATCCAGACTCTGCCCCTCATTGGGAGGGTATCTTTGAGCAAGCTACTTTACCTTTTTAAATGTCAATTTTCTCATCTATGAAAATGAGAAAATTGTATGTGCCTCACTGTGTTATAAATATTAAAAGGGATGATGTCGTATATTATTATTCTTTTAAGTTCACCTTTTGGCATTCCTGGACACAAGGCTTTGGGTAATGATCATTTCTGTGTAAGGTAGTAAATGCTATGATGAGACATTTAGGGGGTTGTGTGGAGGCGTATCATAGAAATATCTGACCTGGTCTACGGCTCAGGGTTTGGGGATCGCTTCCTGGAGGGGGATCCCACCTGAGCTTGGTCCGAAGGATGAATAAGAGTTAACCAGGGGAATAGGAGAGACGCAGGTTTGGGGAATAAGGAAGAACACAAATGAGCAAAAGCTTAGGGATGAGAACAGCAGGTGTGTGTGTGGGAACAGCAGCATTTGGGATCGCTGGGAATACGGTGTGAGGCATGAGCCATGAGGCGTAGCTGGAGGAGGGCCTGAGCTGAGTCACAGAGCTAATGTCTGTTTGCCTTGTTGAGAAGCTTGAGTTTTATTCAGTAGGCAGTGGAGAGACACTGATGGGCTTTACTCAAAAGAAGTAATGTACAGGTCATAGTCATGTTTTCTTTAAAAAAATTACAGTGGTCCTTGTGTAAATGATAGACTTGAGGGGCAGGTAAATTAATTAGGGGACTATTAAAATCCAGATGAGCGACGATAATGACTTGAAAGTGGTCATGGGGGTAGAGAAGAGAAAATAGATTAAAGGAATATTCAACAGCTCAATTAGCAGGACTTGGTAATTGAATTGGGTGTAGAGAGTGAATGCAGGAAGAATCAAGGCTGACTGCCAAGTTTTAGTTCACCTTTGGTTTTAGTCTGGTGTCTGGGCAAATGGATAGTATTTACCTCCCGTATATATGCTCTTTAGGGCATATGTACAGGAGGTGAAACCAGGCCAGAAAGGGAGATTACATGTGATTTTGGAATGCTGAGTTTCAGATTCCTGTGAGATGACCACTTTTAAGATTTATTACATTTGAATGTTAACCATGTGTATATATCCCTGAGAGGAACAGAAAGAATTGAGGATGATTTAATAAGATTTAGTAAAAATAGAAAGCTTTTCAAAGATACTTGATGGGCCACAAAATACGTGGATCCTTTCCTGGTCCTCACTTTGTTTGTTTTCCTGCTCTGGTGGTTAAACCTGTAAATAGACGAGCTGTCCGATGGGTTTGTTGAGTAGCAATGCAGGGCCAAGGATGAGATTCTAGGTAACAGTGTTGTCTACTGTTAACCTAGACAAAATACTGGGGGTATTATTGGGCCATAAGATTGATCAGGATTTGCAGGGCTGAGGGTGACCTGTGAAACTGCCTTTTTCCCAGTCCCAGTGCCAAACGTCGCTATAAAAACCAGAAGTTTGGTTTTGGTGGTAAGAAGAAGGGCTCCAAGTGGAACACTCGTGAGAGCTATGATGATGTATCCAGCTTCCGGGCCAAGACAGCTCACGGCAAGGGCCCCACGAGGCCTGGAAAGAAAGGATCAAATGTAAGTGAGCTTGGCTGACCAGCTGAGAGGCTGGATGAGCCTCCTCTCCCAACCCACACCCACCTTGCTCCCTTTCCGTCCCTGTGCATCCTGATCAGGGGGCAGAAGGCCAAACTGCTATGTGACCACCTATGGTATTTCTTTTTCTGTAGAAGAGACCTGGAAAAAGGACAAGAGAGAAAATGAAGAGCAGAACACGCTAAGCAGCATCTTTAAAAAAAAAAGGATGAAGACTTGGGATTTCACAATACAATTGGATCTCTTATGTTGGTTTCTTTTTGTAAAAAAATTTTTCATTAAACTAAAAAGTGCTGAAAGAAACATACCCTTGGGTGAAAACTCAGAACTAAAAGACTGAGAAGCTACTTTTACGTATTAAGTAATACTTCTATTTGTTGATAATAACTTAGACATTGAGTCCAAATTTTCTTCCTTTTATGATAGATGAAGATTTAACACCCCTCAATTCCTCTTTCTCATCCTCTCAAATAGTTATATCATGACTATAGATAAATCAATAATCAGTATTTATATCATTAATATCCTTTAAATAGCCATCACTGGAGAGCTCAATGAACTATGATAATATTTCCTTTGTGTCACAGGTTTTGCTTTTTCCTTGGATTAATTGTCCACTTAAATTTTTCTGAGAGCCTAATTTTCCTTCTATATCATTATTTTTTTCCTAGATGTTTCATTGTTTTATCTATCTTATAATTTTCCTGCTGTAACCTAGGTGTGTCATACTACTGTCACCTTGTCCCTTTTCTAGGCCTTCTAGGTTGGATCCACTATTTCTTGGACCCATATTTTCATGTCTTAAGCCATGCCTCCTTTTGCTCTATACCATTTTATAGTATCTTCCTAAGAAAGGGAACATGGGAGGTGAATTTCTTATCTCTACATTTCTCGAATTGCGTTTAATTTGGCTGGTATGAATTTCCCGAGAATGTGGCAGGCATGCTTTGTCTTACAGCCTCCTGCGTTGAGACACCTATGCCCTTATAGTTCTCATTCTTGTCTCTGGAAGCTTTTCTTGTCCCTGATGTCTGAAATGCCATGAGGCCATGCCTTGGTGTGCGCTTCTTTTCATTCTTTGATTAGGGTGTTTGGAAGAATGTGAGGTCCTCAGTTCTGGTAAATTTTATGTTGAATAGCTCCCTCCTCCTTTCTTTGTTCTCATTCTGCAGTTTCTGTTAGTCAAATGTTGAACCTCTTCTAAGTTTGTATTCATATTAAGTTCTACTTTGTGGGAAGATTTCTTTGATTCTTTTTTCTAATAATTTTACTGAATACTTATTTTAGTGTTCATTTTTCACCTTATACCCAAGAGTTCTTTGTTTTCTAATTAATCCTTTCTCACATCAGTTTACTTCTATTCTGTAAATGCAATCTCCAATCATATCTCTCAGTATATAAACTACAGTTTTGGTTTTTAAAAGAGGTTTCTTCTGTTTCCTTCATTCCATTACCTCAGGGTCCCCACACCCCTTTCTGTACATTTGGGTTTCCATTTTCCATGTCGAGTTTCCAGTACAAAAAGAATGAATGTAGCTTCTGTAAACTAATTTCACATAAAATTTGAGCAAAGAGATCATATTTTTAGAAAATGAAAATATTTCTCCCTGGCCTATTTTTGACTGTCTGTTTAATATTAGCAACTGGGGTAAAACATAGCATTTCAAATAAGGAGTCATAGATTTAGTTAGAAACTTTGAATTATGTTTGGAATATATTGAGAGTTTTAAGGCAGGAGAACACAGGTTAACTGCGTTTCACAAAGATAAGGCCAAAAGTAAGTGATCGGTGCTATAGACATTCCAGCCCTCAAGCTGTAACCTGTGTAGACACTGTTAGTCCTCATGTCTTAATTTTTTTAAAAGATTTCATTTATTTTTACAGAGAGGGGAAGGGAGGGAGAAAGGGAGAGAAACCTCGATGTGCAAGAGATAACATCAATCATTTGCCTCTTACACGCTCCTAAGTAGGGACCTGGCTTGCAACCCAGGCATGTGCCCTGGCTGGGAATCAAACCAGCGACCTTTCGGTTCACAGGCTGGAATCCAATCCACTGAGCCACCCCAGCTAGGGCTGTTCCTCATGTTCTTTAAAATACCATTTCTTACATTGCAAGGAAGCAATCTGGCAGTTCCCAGTAACCAGGAAAGGCTATTCTTGGTTTGCTCATTTCCAGTATGCATTGTACTTTAGTTCAAGTACAATGAAATAACAGCAGTTTCGCAACACGGTTCCAATTTCAGTTATCAAAGTATTGTTAACTGTGAGTACTTGCAGAAAGCAGAAACTTTTCTATTAGCTTTTCAGTCCCCAAATCACTATATGTGTTACAGATGCATAATGACTTCAAAATCTGTAGGTGATGGTCCTTGCACAGACAGCAACATTGGAATTGGGTTGTTTCTGTGCCTCTGTCGCCCAGCAATGAACCTACACGGCATTTTACAAAAGCAGATAATTGAGAGAATCGATGAACAAAGATGAAAGTGCAGTAAAGAAATGAAAAGTGAGGCTGGAAGCAGAATTTGAAAAGCATGCAAATGGAGTTGAACCATTACTGAGGTGGGTGTGGTGACACTGGTGTTCACTGCACTGGACGTGCAGCCGGAGAACGTAGGGACATGATGAAGAAAGTGATGGAGAGGATGAAGACATCCCAGAAATAACAAGAGGCACTGGCAAAAATACCCGCATCGGAGCGGCCCTTGGAGGTATTTTGTTACATTCGAGGTAGAAATGACTAAATGTTGGAAGCAAATCCAAACTTAGAAACAAGATTATTTGCAGAGGCATAGAAACAGTGCCTGCTCCTTGTCATGCATAATTGGAAAAAGGAGGCAAACACTTCTTTAAAAATAGGAAACACTTGATTCTCGATGTTTTAAATTGCAGTCTACTAAATAAATAATAGTGTTAGTTTTTCATTTTCTAGTGCATTTTACAGTAAGATGTTTACTAGTTGGACAAAAATTTTAAAAGTTTATTGCCATGAATATATTTGAGGAGAGCATGAAAAGTGGACTAGTTGGTAATGGAGAGAGGTGAGTCTATGATATAGTGTAAATTATTACATAGATTAGGTTCCAGACTTTTTCATCACAGTGTTGTCTGCTGTGAAAGTGGCCATGGTCTCTCCTACTTGTTTAAATAGAGAACCACCTCCTGCTTTCACCTCCTCCGCATCATAATTGTGCATCAACTCATCTCAAAAGGTATGCATGTATAGTTTTCACTTTACTCAGCGGTGTAGCACCACAAAATGACCCCTGCTCCAACTATGCCAAGTAATCTTAATAAATTTTGACAGTGTTTTTATTTATTTTTAAAAATATTTTTATCGTTCAAATACATTTGTCTCCATTTCCCTCACCACCGCTTTCCCCAGCCCCACCCTCTCCCACCCTCAATCCTTCCCCCACTTTGGCTTTGTCCATTAGTCCTTTATACATGTTCCTTGACCCTTCTTTTCCTTGATGCCCCCCTCCCCCCTCTCCTCTTGTTGCTGTCTGTTTTTTCTTTCAATGTTGCTGGTTATATTTTTCTTGCTTGTTTTGTTGATTAGGTTCCACTTATAGGTGAGATCATATAGTATTTGTCTTTCACCCCCGCTTATTTAGCTTAGCATAATGCTCTCCAGTTCCACCTATGCTGTTGCAAAGGGTAGTAGCTCTTTCCTTCTGCTGTGTAGTACTGCATTGTGTAAATGTACATAGTTTTTTGATCCACTCATTTACTGATGGGTAGGTTGCTTCCAGCACTTGGCTATTGTAAATTCTGCTGTTATGAACATTGGGGTGCATAGGTTCTTTTGAATTGGTGTTTCAAGATTCTTAGGGTATAATCCCAGCAGTGGAGTTGCTAGGTCAAAAGGCAGTTCCATTTAAAACTTTCTGAGGAAATTTCACACTGTTTTCAACAGTGGCTGCACCAGTCTGCATTTCTACCAACAGTGTACTAGTGTTCCCTTTTCTCCACAACCTCGCTAGCACTTGTCATTTGTTGATTCTGACCGGTGTAAAGTGGTATCTCATTGTGGTTTTAATTTGCATTTCTCTGATGACTAGGGATGCTGAGCATCCTTTCATATGTCTCTGGGCCCTGTGTATGTCCCCCTTGGAGAAGTGTTCAGGTCCTTTGCCCATTTTTTAATTGGATTGTCTTCCTGGAGTGGAGTCATGTGCGTTCTTTATATATTTTGGAGATCAAACCCCTTTCTGAGGTATCATTGGCAAGTATATTTTTCCATACAGTTGGTTCCCTTTTCATTTTGCTGATGTTTTCTTTAGCTGTGCAGAAGCTTCTTATTTTGATGAAGTCCCATTTGTTTATTCTTTCCTTTATGTCCCTTGCTTTAGGGGACATATCGGTAAAAATATTGCTGCATGGAATATCTGACAGTTTCCTGCCTATGTTCTACTCTAGGACTTTTATGGTGTCATGACTTATTTTTAAGTTTTTTATCCATCTCAAGTTTATTTTTGTGTATGGCGTAAGTTGGTGGTCGAATTTCATTTTGTTGCACGTAGCTGTCCAGATATCTCAACACCATTTGTTGAAGAGACTATTTTTATTCCATTTTATGCTTCTGCCCCCTTTGTCAAATGTGAATTGACCATAGAGACATGGGTTTATTTCTGGGCTTTCTATTCTGTTCCATTAATCTATGTGTCTGTTCTTATGCCAGTCCCAGACTGTTTTGATTACAGTGGCCTTGTGATATAGTTTGATGTCAGGTATTGTGATCCCTCCTATTTTGTCCTTCTTTTTCAAAATTGCTGCAGCTATTCAGGATTGTTTATGGTTCCATATAAATTTTTGAAATGTTTGTTCTATATCTGTGAGATATGTCATTGGTATTTTAATAAGGACTGCATTAGATCTATAAATTGCTTTGGGTAGTACGGACATTTTGATGATGTTAATTCTTCCAATCCATGAACACAGTATATACTTTCATTTATTTGTGTCTTCCTTAATTTCTTTCTTCAGTGCTGTGTAGTTTTCTGAGTACAGGTATTTTACCTTCTTGGTTAAGTTTGTTCCCAGGTACTTTATTTTTCTTGTTGCTATAGAAAATGGGATTTTTTCCCCCTGATTTCTGATTCTGATATTTCATTGTTGGTGTACAAAAATGCCTTCGATTTCTGAATATTGACTTTGTATCCCGCTGTTTTGCCAAATTCACTTATTAGGTTGAGTAGTTTTTTGGTGGAGTCTGTGGGGTTTCCTATGTACACTATCATGTCATTGCAAACAATGACAGTTTTACTTCCTCCTTTCTAATTTGGGTGCCTTTTATTTCTTTTTCTTGTCTGATTGCTGTGGCTAGGACTTCCAATAGTATGTTAAATAGAAGTGGTGAAAGCGGGCAAACTTGTCTTGTTCCCGGTCTTAGTGGGAAAGCTTTTAGTTTTTGCCCATTGAGTATGATGTTGGCTGTAGGTTTTTCATATATGGCCTTTAGTATGTTGAGGTATGCCCCCTTTACTCCCACTTTGCTGAGTGTTTTTACTGTAAATGGATGCTGTACCTTATCAAATGCTTTTTCTGCATCTATTGATATGACCATGTGATTTTTGTCTTCCCTTTTATGTGATGTATTATGTTTATTGATTTGCAAACATTGAACTATCCTCCCATCCCTGGGATGAATTCCACTTGATCAATGGTGGATGATTTTTTTTAATGTGTTGCTGGATGCAGTTTGCCAATATTTTGTTGAGGATTTTAGAGTATGTTCATCAGCGATTTTGGCCTGTAGTT